TATATATATATATATATATAAATATATATATCCATCGGTGATTTTTAGTTTGAGCGAGTGACTATTTAGGTTAATTCTTCTTATTGTATTAATAGCCTACTACCTAAGTGGTTGGTCTTGGCCCCTATGAGAAGGTCGAAAATGGTACTCCTTTCGTTTTAATTTATGTGACATAATTTGATTAGGCATGAGTTAAAAATTTATAGTGTTAAACTTGTCATGATATTTTTATGACTAAAAATCGTATTATTAGAAGAAAATAAAAGGCTTAATATTAAATTGTTTCTATAAATATATTGTAACTTCTTTTGAAATAGACTAAGAACAAAATAATCCAACACAAATAAAACCTAAACGAATTTGGAGAAGTGAAAAAACAATTGTGAAACATGTGGTCCTTATTTTATGTCTGATAAAATAATCTCTCTTTTTCCTTCTTTAGTTTGCAGAGAGGGGGGTATATATTTTATCAGACACACAACAAAAAGAGAACAAACTGCGGCCAAGACTAAATCAAGCCTTAAAATATTGTAGCCGAATTACGAAACTACCCTACTTTTTCGCCACGTACCCTTCACTGCAATGTCCTACGTTTTTCACCTTTTTATCACATGTTCCTCCAATAGGACGTAATGTCTTACGCTACAAAAAAAGATAATTAAAACTAACGAATAAATTTATATAAATTAGAACAATATAATGGAGTAATATGTATTTATGTTTAAATTTATAGGCTTTTTTCACTTTTAACCCGCGCCAAAAACTATTTATATTTGATAGCCGAAAAAATGTATAAAATTTGTATAATTTTTGTATATAACATACAGAATATATATATATATATATATATATATATATATATATATACACACACATAAAATATATACAAAAATATATATTTTTCGGCTATTATAATGAGAGCGGTTATACAGTATTATTTTCTTTAAATTTATTCTTAAATTAATTCATTTGAGCTGACAGAGCATGATGAATGGAAATTATTGTGTAACTATTACATATTAATTAAATCCTTTATAATTTGATATTCTTATAAAAAACGTATTTTTAGTATATATATTTAATATTCGGCACTCACCAATTAATTACGAGTGAGACTATTAAAGAAATGCGTTTCTATAAAACTATAGTATTACTTTCACGCTCTAACTCTCCTACTGTATGTTGTGTGTACTTTCAAGTAATAAGACTGCTTGCTAAACAAATCAGTACTGACGAAACGTCTCATACTCGCACTAAAGGGTAACCTGAGATAAGGTATGAAAGCAGTCTAATTATTTTCAATTGAGTCGAGTTTTATGGAGCTTGAGCGGGGATCTTTACATAAATAGTCAGACATATTTATTATTTATTTTTTTTAGTCATAACATAATTTATATATTAATTATATATAATTATATAAATATATATTACGACTATTTTTAGTTTAAACAGGGACGGCTAGGTGGATTAATTCGTCTTTGGTTAATCGTGCAGATATCCATTTCATCCCTATACTTCTTTGGACAAGTGGAAAAGCCGCAATCCCTTACGCTAGACTAGAAACTGCCAAAAAGCAAAATTAACTTCGCACGTGCCCATTCCTCTGGCACGTGAAGTATCCTACGTGGGACGTTGTAAACACGTGGTATTTGGAGATACATGGGTTCGTAGTTGCAAAGGGCAGTGTTTGTTTGTGATCTGTCAAGACACGTGGCGCTCATTCACCGCCTTTTCTCTCCTCTCTTTTTATTCTGCTTTCTTGTCCTCACTTAAACGTTTAGTTTTATTTTTAAAAAATTTCATACTATGAATATGAATACCAAACAGGTAGAAGAATCAACGCCGCCGTGCACGGCGGAGGAAGGGAAGTTTTCTGGTGATGGAGATGGTGAAGATGAAGTGGTGGAGTGTGAGCTGGAAGCAGCACAAACGTTGGCTTATTTGGCTGGTCGCTCTGAGGTTGGTCTTTTCTTCTTTTTTTTTTCTTTCAAGTTTCTATTTTCGACCCCAAACTAGTTTGCGATTACAGTATATATTAGGAGTTTATTATTATTATTATTATTATTATTATTATTATTATTATTATTATTATTATTATTATTATTATTTAAATTTTGGATTATTATGTACTGAATATTGTTTGTGATGGGGTAGTTTATGAATTATGATCATAATGTCTATATGTATGCAGGCATTGGTCATATGCGTATGTATATTCTTTAGATGAAAAAATAGCTCTTAATCTTAGTCACAAAATGAGGTGAGTTAGGAGTCTCTTTTCCTTAGATGAAAAAAATAATACTAGAGTAGCTTTTATTTTTGCATTTGTTGTAATGACAATGTGGTGCCTTTCTTGTATTTTATTTTCTTTTTACAATTTAGGAAATTTTGCAATTGAAGGGGAGCCTGGGCGTTACTGGTAAAGTTGCTGCCATGTAGGTCACAGGCTCAAGCCGCGGAAACAGCCTATTGCAAAAATGCAGGATAAAGTTGCGTACAATAAACCCTTGTGGTCCGGCCGTTCTTCGGACCCCCCACATAGCGGGAGCTTAGTGCAATGGGCTGTCCTTCAGGGAATTTTGCAATGATTGTTTAGCTTTTGTTGAAAGGGAGTCTTGTAGCAACAGTAAAATTGTCTCTGTATGACCTATAGGTCTCGGGATCAAGCCATGGAATCAGCCATTGATGCTTGCATTAGGGTAGACTGTCTACATCACACCCCTTTAGGGTGCTGCCCTTCCCCGGGCCTTGCGTGAACGCGAGATGTTTCGTGCACCGGGCTGCCCTTTTATGGTTTAGCTTTTGTTACTAATTGCTAATTCCTCTCAAAGCAATGATGTGTAAGAAGAGATGAGAATGTAAAGAAGTCATTTACATTGTTTGCTTATTAATCATCTAGTACCTCGACTAATTCTTGGAAATAAAGGTTTTCTTGATTTTGATTGCAATCCTGAAAACCTTATTGTGAATTTCAAAGAGTTCTGTTTTTAATTCTTCTAGTTTACTATCTTTTGAGGTATGTTGAAGAAGCATGTTGAACGGTTTAATTATAAATGCTTTCTTCTTTTCATTTATGAGTGGTACGAGGTAAAGGAGAATGCAAAGTTTAATGTGGGAAAAATGAGTAGAAGAGATTAAGATCCAGGTTTGTGAGTTAAGCACTTCAGGGAACAAAACTTAGGCTCTAAATTTTTAAACTTTGTGCGCATGTAACATATACTTAGCTATGGTTGGGTGACAAATTTGTAAAACAAAAGAATGGATATGGATCAAAGGTCATCCTTTACAAGATTGGTGTATGCACATTCTCATATCTAATAGATATACAGTCAAATCTCTCTATAACAGTTTCATTAGTTTCGACATTTTTTGACTGCTATGGTGAAGTGTTGTCATAGAGAACATATATTATAACGTAACATGAAAATTTGGTTCCAAAGAAAATTTGACTGTTATAGTGAAGTATTTTTTATAGAGGATGACTCTTATAATCTTTAGCTTTCATGTATTTACTCCAGAATACCGTTAGTTCTTAAGTACATAATTGAAAATGCAGCCGGGCATGATGGAGAAAAAAATAATTAATGAACAGGGGTTCCTCTCATTGTTATTGTCTCTTTATAGGAGGTGGAAAAATCTTCTCAAAGCATTGATGAATCGTCAAGATCCAACTCAGACACTACAGTTTTACATATGTATTAATCAAGATCGTAGTAATGCCTTCTTTGACATATTTGCTTATTAGCTGACGAGCTCGAAACACACACTTAAATTATGCTCGCTAATCAAATATAGTATAGTATAATATCGTATCCACATGGATTGAATTTAAACAGTATTCTCGTAGTTTCTAGATTGGTTGCTATCCAGGAGAATCAGCAATTGAGGTTTATATGATTTCTAATTAAAATTAACTAAGAGTCTAAAGCTATTGATTAATGACTAATGACAATCGAAACAAAGATAAGCAAGGAAGTTATCAGTGGGAGAAAATAGGGGTTGATAGGATATGTGCAAGATAATTGTTTGGGATCTAACTCTAGATATTTCACTTCTAATGTTCAAGTGAGTCTCTCGTATTCACTCAATTATTAGTTCAAACGTTCAACCAAAACTCCTCTCTTGATTAACTTTTAACCTCCCAAGATGAACCAATTTAAGCACGTGAAGATATGCAAGAATGCGTAGTGGATTAGTCTTTAGGAAAACCTCTCTCGATTATCCTCCTAACTAGGTTTAATCAATGATTCAACTAGCCTCTTTCGATTACTAAGAAGAATTAATGAACTCAACCAACAATATAATGCAAAGATATCACAAGTTATGTCTCTCTCGATTACATGAACTAGTGAATATAGATGCAACAATTAAATCATCCAAAAACGCTTCAATACATAAAACTAGAGTTATAATCTATAAACAATCATCAATACACCAAATCCATCAAAACCCTAAAGAGAACTACTCCATAGATGTGGAGTAATTCATCACAAATATAATAAAAGTATAGGAAAACATAAATTCAACCAAACTCGGGTCTTGAGTGAGGATTGAATGATGAACTCCTTGTGTTTTTGTTTCTCCAACTCCTCCTTAGGTCTCCAATATGTCAAAAGTCGAGAAAATAATATTTTTTCATGTATTTATACCAAGTATTGTCGGGCCCAAACGAAATCACCCTTTCCTAGACGAAATAGGAAAACTTGCAAACTTATTGCTTTTCATGCGTCGCACTGTGCGTAGCATTAGTGCTTTTTCTTGTCAGACCATAGAAACCCAGCCTCTGAACTTTGTCAATTCCTGACACAAAATTACACTACTGCGTCACACAATGCGTCGCCCTGTGCGTCGCACTAGTGCATTTCTTCAGCTGTTGCTTCTTGATTTTTGACGTCCAGAAGTGATCCTCGACCCCCGAACACGATCCGTGCTTAATCCCTTGGGCTTTTACTCAGACTTCAAAACTCCAAATAGCTCGAATTAGTTCCACAACATCTACATA